AGGATTTCCTTCCTTTCGGTTTCGATATATATTGGAAATCTTCTTTCAAGATTTATCATTCCAAAGATCTCCTTGCTATCAAATCTACATATAATATATACTTGTTTGTGGTTTGTGTACGATCTTTTGTGCACGGGCCGATCTACAGTGGGCGCAATGGGGTCCGTTGCAGTACACTAAATTTGAAGTCCAAGATTTTGGGACAGATTTTTCGAGATTTTCAAAAAAAATTCCTTACCCATCCCCCGCCCCTACTCTATTTTCGTGGCTCTGCCCCTGCTTTTGTGTATAATTCAAGTGTGACGCAATGGATCAATTTTTTTATTACTGTTGTAAAAGTAATCATATTTGTCTGGTTTGAACTCTGGTTTACATTGCCTCTGTGTATTGTCCTCGCCTCGCCTTATATTGCTATTAGAATCACAAGAACTTTTAGCTGGGTTTTCTATATAATACGGCATTCTTTCTTGATATTTCTTCAACTGTCAGTTTCCAATCGACAATTGTTGCAGCTTAATCTTTTCTTTCTAGGCTTTTATACGCATATGTTGATGCTGAGGTTAAAGGAAGTTTTATAATTTTTCTTTTGTTCTTTTGGGAGTAACGGAGGAAATTCTTTGAATTTTTCAGTTTTGTTATTGAATCTCATGATAAATAATTGGTGGCTTCTTATGAATATATAGGTTGTTGCCGTGTTGAAGGGAGAAACAATGATAGTGAATAAAGAAGGCTATATTGGACATTTCATGGAAAGACGGCCAGGGATTAAAATCGACTTAAATTTACCCGCGGATGATTCTCAATCTGAGACCTCTAATGAAGATACTGCTGATGATTCTGCCTTTGATTAGGTTTATGAAGATTTTTTTACCGATGATCCCTTGGTTCAAGAAGTTTGCCAAAGGATCGATCTCAATCTGAGATGCCTTGTGAAGATATTGCTGCCTTATCGCCCAATGATCCCTTCGGTATGGAAGTTAGCATTAGTTCGCTTGACAATCCCACAAATACCCTGTGGAGTACATAAAGATAACTTATTTTGATTTGAAGCGCGTTCTTGAAGAAACCCGGGATTGACTAAGGTCAATATCATGGACAGATTTATAATGGGGGCAATGGGTCAACTGCCCCCAGACTATTGGACTTTTTTTTATTCAATTTTCGAGATTTTGCACAAGATTTTCAAAAAATTCTTTGTAGTTTTCAATTTTTCCCCTTACAATTAAAATTTTGTGAAATTTGCCCGCACAACTTTAGAATCATAGCTCTACCCCGGACTTATTATATTTGTTGTGGAGTTATTGAATTACATCCGTTACAGTTACTGTACTTATTATTTTCAGTGATTCTTTCTTCAAGGCTTATGATTCCAAAGATCTTAGCTGGGGAAGCCAACTTGACTATGATGAAACTCCCACGATTAAGGATGCAATCTTTCAACAAACGAGAAGAAAACGTGGGTTTATTCTATTAGATAGAGTTGGACCTTTTTATTAATATTAGAACTTTGTNAAACCTGAATCATTGACTCCTTGTAATACCTTTGTCCAGAAACCATGAGTTGTCTGGAATCTGAGGGTTACTTGGACCACAGTCAGGATTCTTGATAATCTTGTTTTCATACAATCATTCCTTCAGTACTACTCAAACTTGATTGATATCTGTATGTGTTTTTTTTTTTTTTTTTCCGGAAATAGAGACAACTAAATTTGTGTAATCCATTTATCAATTCACAGAATTCTTCTTTTATCATATTGTCAGCTATATACACTAATTTAACTACGTCTGGATTTTTTTTTTATTATCTTCAATACAAGTAAAAAGATGAGAATACAAAATTAAGTGAACATAACAGAGATTGGGCATAAGAAAAGAAAGGGGGAAAAACATTCAAAAATTTTATTATTATAAATAAATAAATATTATTTATTACTTTCATCGATATATTTATTTATTGTTGCTGCTGTTGTTGTTGTTGTTGTTGTATTTTTCTTGGTTGGACTTTTTTTTCATAAAATTATTGAAGATATGAATTAATCGACCACTAGTTTCAACTTGTGTAATTGAACTTTGATTGAGTTACAAATTTTACGACTCTACCCTCGACC